GGGCTTGTTTTGCATTTGAAACTCCAGTAATATTACCTTGATTTTCTGCTTCTTTGAGTAAGGATGATAAACCATCCACACATACGAGGAAAAGGAGTGGCGACAGAGGATCTCCTTGCTGAATGGCACGTCAAGGATGAACTCGGCCTTTTAGCTGTGTCATTTAGAATGAAATCCCATATTTAGCATCATTTCAATTCCTTGATAAAATGTCCTTTCACCGTATCAAAAGCGTTGCTTAAATCCAGCTTCATAACAGCATATATATATATATATATATATATAACTTGTCTTGCCCGTTTTACTTCAGTTCTAGACAGTGAATTACATATAATATTAAAAACCAGGATAACATTGTTCATCTATTGATCAATCAAAGTTCGGATTTCCTGAAGGATAGTCTGAACAGCTTTATGATCATCAACTTCTGTTGCTCTGAAAAGATCACTATACTGCGTACTGCGATGCCAAGAGACCAGTGAAAGTTGCTACCAGTAAAGTTGCTCGTTTTTAGCAAATCATCAAGGATTTTTTCAGCATAAGTTTTTTTTTTTTTTTTTTTTTTTAACAAGGAAAAAAAGAACTTGCAATGACAGATGCCACTAGGAATATTGAAAACATAGAATTGTGCTCGGTTGAAACATCCCAGATTCCCTAACCCTAGAACCTAAGATGGCATTTTGACTGTTCATTAGGGAAGAACAAGCCAAAGTTCTTCTCCTATTCTGGTGTCATCTTTTGGTTCTCATCAAACACAGCAAACAACTAAGTCTTAATAGGTCTCTTAGGCCTCTTTGGGGTGCCCTGTTTGACATGCTTAATTAGATTGAGTAGTAAGTCCTTGCATTGTCAAACGACGCTACAAAATCACCTGCTGAAGGCCATCCACTTCCCGACACAACAACTTCCAAACAACCCCCTCTTTCCGCTCTCAAGAGCACACAGTACATTGCATAAAAAAATGTTTTGGTATCCTAATCCATTATTGGGATCCTTTACCGCTACCAAATGCTCGATAATTGGGTCTATGAACCACCTAAAACTATCTCTGGAGGCACCACTTAGATGGAGAATAGGACTTTGCTAATAAGTTCATGCAAATTGACGCGACTGGCTGATCTGACCGCGTTTTTACAAGCGCCGAGTGTAGAAACTGCACATCTCGAGATGTGTCCATTGACAGGGCTCACTTCATTGCCAAGATGATCAATGTACCTAAATCTCATACTTGGCCAGAAGTTCAGCACGCTTTCTAGGTCCTTGTTTGGGACACCGATGATGAGTCGAATTTCCGAGTCTACAAGGGCATGTAGAACAGCGTGACTCGGATTTTAAATTTCGCATTCTGAATGACATTATTTGACTTGCAGAGAGCTACAACTTCTGAAGCAGATGGTAGTTGTTGCCTTGCATTCAGAAAACTTTTCATCATTTTCTTGCAATTGTACTGCTGTTGATTCTACATTGCATGGTGATCGATGAATAAAATAAATCAACAAAATTATTCAACCAGTTTATTTCATCAACTATACCTAGAAAAAGGTAGTTATATAACGACACAAAGTCAAGAATAATTATCCCATACATAAAGTGATAGATGTATATGACGAGTCTGATAAAATTGGTGAGTTTTCTTCTGTGCCAAGCAAGCCTTTTTTCATAATAGACCTCAAAAGAGACTAGATTGCGTAAGAAGGTATGGAAAAAGAAAAAAAGGGTATGAAGAGCCATTATTGAACTCTTTCTCAGGTCTCAATCCTAATTAAAAATAAAAAATAAAAAATAAAACCTCTTTATATATGTCGTTTTTGTTTTGTTTTTTTATTATTTTTTAAATGCCGAAATTGCTAACAATTACGGGTACGTAACAATTGACAAGCTATTGCATAGTACAAGTGTTATGTGTCGAATTATTAGTAAGAATAATAATAAAAACAAAAAATATTTAATAATGCAATATTATTTTGAATTGTTTTTAGTAATTTAATCATTTACTTTTATTATTCAATATTCATCATTTGAAGAATCTTTTTAAAATTTTTATCTTTATTTTCATGAACAAACAAAGCCTGACGGCTGATGTGCAGAAGAAGTTGAACTAACCCATTTATTTACTCACAAAAATATGCACCAATATTTTTGAATTTATTAAAACACTATTTAATTAATTATACGTAAAGAGACATTTTTATAATTTTGTGTGTGTATATATATTAGTTAAAAGCACGTGTGTATACGGTTTGCAGAGCAATAAGAAAAAAAAAGTATTTTGAAAATTACTTTTGGTATAGTAATATTTTAGAGGACAAAAAAAATACTTACGTAGGAACAGATTAGAGAAAAATAATGCAATATGAGTAAATTAAAAAAATGAAATTTATGAAAAAATAGTGGTGACGATGACCGCAAAAAAAAAGTTATTTTAATTGGATAATTAGAAAAAAAAAATTTGTGAGAATAACTTTTGGTATAACAATATTTTACAGCAATACTGAAAGAAACATTAAAGGAGGATCACATTTAAAAAAATATTTCAATTAGGGTAAATAGAGGAAAATTTTAAAAAGAAGGGTAAGAATAAAAAATATAAATTTTTCTGGGAGAAAAAAAAAAGAAGGAAAGCTGGTGTTGGGGTCAGGTAGACTCGGAGGGTCGACGTGTCGGGGGTTGACACACGTAAGCACGTAGTTCGTTGGAAGTGGATCCGACATGGCCGACCTTTGAAATGGATGATGATGGCGGGACCTCCAACGAAAAAAGTGGGGTCAGTTAGGCCCAAATTAGGCCGAAGGACGCATGTCCTAGGACCCTCTTTGTTGTCGAAATGACGAAAACTCCACAAAACAAATAAAAGAACTCCGAAGATGAAGAATAGTAGGAGGTGCAACCAAGTAGTTGATGGAGATGGAGAAAAGGAGGCCGGAGGTGCCTTGATGGAGAAGTTCTCTGGAGGCAAGCGCGGGCTGCTCCAAGAGTGAAGATAGTGACTCAGGTGGTGGATAAGACTTGGAAGAGAATGAGAGTGAAGTTAGCGAGGTGGATAAGGCTCTGGCAGAAAGAACTCCAAGAGCAGCGCATGTTACTCTGGGAATGAGAACGACGCTTGGAGAACTTGCTCCGACGGTGAGCGGAAGTGACAACGAAAATGAAGACTTGAACGTCACCGGAAAATGTATGAAGAAACTTCGAAGAATTTTGAGATGGTGGTGGAAATGGATTGAAAAGTGTGTTGGAAAGGTTTCCAAGGCTGTCAACACGTGGAGGCCTTGAAGGACCTTGAAGAGCTTAAAGAACCTCAAGTCTCTGTAACAAGAGACTAGAAAAGACTGAATGAAGGGAGAGAGTGATCTGAAGAGGATAAAGATAGTGGTTGGTGCTGATGGTGGATTAACCCTCTTGTAATGAAGGAGATGAGGAGTATTTATAGGTGAAATTGGTAGGATTTTGGTGACAACTCCGGAGGTTCATACGGCGTGCTCTAACAGACGCATGCACAAGCAATCCCGATGAAGTAAAGCCTTCTGAAACCTTTCCGGAGTTGAAGAGAAGATCAACCAAAAATGGAATGAAGACGCTCTAGTGGGGTGAATTGGCGGCGCTCTGAAGGAAGCATGCATACGCGATCCAAATGGAGCAAAGTCATCAGAAGCCTTTCCGGGGTTGAAAAAGAGCTGGTTTGGAAATGGAAAGAAGGTTCATGGTGGCTGCTCTGAAGACCAATCGGCGACGCTCTGACGGAGACTTGAACATGCAATTCCTTTTGGAGCAAGGTGATTAGGTGACTTTCCAAATTGACAAAGAAAAGACTCAAAAATGAAAAGACTTGGAGGTAAAGTTTCAGATTTGAAGCTAACGTGAAGAGTTCCAAGGTCTGAAATTCTCAAGGGTGTTTGACTCAGCTTCGTGCTCTGTTGACTTCCTCTTTTAGAGGTCTGATCGCATGTCAGACCTTGTCAAAGATGGTTTATACGATATAGGCTAAGCAACCGTCAAGTTGGCTCTGACATGAAAGATACTCTGAATGAAGCTGCTCTAACGGTGAGCATGTTCTAAACAAAGGCTGCTCCAGGTGAAGCTGCTCCAAAGGGTGAGCATGCTCGAGGCGAAGAGTGCTCCGATGGTGAGTTGGGCAAGAGGAAGTTCAAAGGAATGATGCCTGACACGGAAAAGGCTCCATTAAGCATACTTAGATATGAAGATGATGCTTCGAGAGACATGTCTGCCATAGAGAGAGCCTCCATTAGGCATGTCTAGTGCAGGTAGAGCCTCCGTTGGAGTCAAAACACTGAGAATCAACATTAACAAAAAGGAAAAGTTTTTAAGGTGTGGACTTAAGAATTTTGGGCTTTCAAAAAGACGTGAGGAAGGCTTTTGAGAATTCTCCATCACTCATTTGTATTTAATCCGATTAATTTTGAAAACCTCCCAGCGGGATTCAAATTGGATCGAATTAAACAACAAACGGGCCTACTTGATCACACATGGCCCACTAAACCACAACTCACGGGAGTTCTCCGAGCATGGTTTAGGTCAATAAAGAGAGCCCAATAACGTCTCGTGATGCCGTAGTTGGGCCTGGACCCTTAAATGGGCCTGGTACAAAATCGGATATCAATAACTAAAAAAATAAACAAACAAAGAAACAAAAAAAATAACGCGAAGATTTAAAAAAAAATAACAATCATTTTAACCAAAACGAGTGTTTAGAAACAAAACAAAACGTGAAGATTTAAAAAAAAAAAATCGTTTTAACCAAAACGAGTGTTTAAAAAAAAAACAAAACGTGAAGATTTAAAAAAAAAAAAAATCGTTTTAACCAAACCGGGGGTTTTGGTTTTTTTTTTTTTTTTTTTTTTTTTTTTTTTTTTTTTAGGTAAGTTTTTGATACTTATATAGATGTATAGATATAAGATAACCCTAATTCCCCTACGGCCTACCCTCATGCATCGTCGTGGTTGAGTTTTGATTCATAATACTTAAAAAGCTCGGTAATGGTAGTAATGGCGAAGTCTCGCAGCAAAAAGATGCTACAGGTGAAGAAATTAAGGCACACGAAGAAGAAAAACTTTGGACATTCGGTTACTACGAAGGAAGATTTGAAGGCTAAAAAGAAAAACTTGGGAAGCCCGACTATGGCGAAGAGGATTGTACGAATTAAGGCTAGGAAGATCTACGACAGCCGTGGTTTTCCCACCATCGAGGTTTTCGAATGAATTCGACCCTCTTTTTGTTTTTTAAATGGATTTTTTTTCCTGCAATGTAATTTTGAACAACGATTTTGAAGCTTTCTTCTTGTCTGAAGAGCTAAAAATCATCACAAATTTGCTCTTATTATTGTATATTATTTGGTTATTTTAGTCAAAGTCTTATTGTTTTTAATTGGTCATCTCTTTGTTGGTGAAGGTGAAAGTCAGCTTGGTAGGGTCGGTTTTTGGGCTTGTTTTTGACCGGCCCGCAATAGAGTCGGTTTTTGGGCTTGTTTTTGACCGGCCCGCAATAATCGGCCTGAGAAAACGCTGGGCCGCAACATGTTAATTAATCCCAAAACCTGTATACCATTCGGTTACCTCGGGTAACCTCAGGTCGGCCGGGTTACTTCAGGTAAACTAATTCCAAATTTACTTATTTCAACTACTTTTCCACCGGTAAACCAAATGTTCTCGCCTTCTCGGTGGCCAAGTTTTGGAAGTCGCAGTTGAAGCCTGGAAAGGAGTCCCTACAAATCTCACAAACAGAAATAATCAAACGAAAATCATCTAATAAAGAAAAAAGTTTTCAACTTATTACATAAATGTTACAAAATTCCAACCTCAAAGTAGCTTAATCTTGATTCTTGACGGCAGAAAATCTTGGCCACTAACGGCTCGAAACTGTGAGAGAGAGTCTGAGAAGAAGAAGAGGAAGGGCGGAGGAACGACGGAGGAAGTGAGAAGAAGAAGAAACATAAGCAAAGTGAGACTCAGAGTCATATCAGATTTGAGAGAGGCAGAAGGGGCGGTAGGGTGCTCGGAATGAGAAATGAGAAAGGTAGGTAATGTAGGGCTTTTTTTTTTTAAGTGCATATGGTTATTTCGGGCCGGGTAAGGTTAAGCGGGGTAATGGAGCTTGGGCCCGCGACCCTACCCACCCATTGCGGGTTGGGCTAATTTTTTTTATAAATAAAAAAAAAAACCCTTATATTTTCGGGTAGGGTATGGTCGGGTAGTCGGGTTCGGGGTAATTCCTTTCACCCCTAGTTCCAAGTGGTGAACCTGGGGTGGTATGTTTGTTTCTTATTTGGGTTTCCCCTCTTTTCTCTTTCTGTTTACGAAATATTACCCATTTGTTTCACTCGTTCGAATTGAGAACTTGAGTTTAAAAGTGAATTATGTGAGAAAAAAATATTGTAGCAAAAAAATTAAATGTCTAAACTCTTCTCGTGCCTTGTTATTGTGTAATGGTTTCAGCTTCTCTCAATGAATCCCTTCTCAATTATGTCATGGAGGTCAGATTCCAGTTCACCTTTCACTATTCTATTCTACTTGGTACTTTTCCACTGCTTTTTTTCCTCTTATTGGCCTTTTTTTTTCCCTATGTCTAGGCTGTTGATTCTATCAATATCATCATCGCTCCCAAGTTGGTTGGAAAATTTCTTCCTTTTTTTATATGACCTGAAGTTTGGGACACAGTTGCGCAGATGAATTCTTATGAACCACAGCACGTGGCATTAGGCCATTCTGGGTGCTATCAGATGATTTGTTCTGTGCATAAATTTATGCTCATTAGTCTCGCAACATGTAAACTTAACATTGTATGTATTTCTTGCCCACAGAACAATGAAACGTCGCAGAATATCTGTGGAGCTACTCTGCTTGATGTCTACGAGTCTCTTGTGAGCGAATATCCGATTTTGTCGATTGAACATCCATTTCCCAAGGATGACTTGGAGCAACCATAGGCTGGTCAGAGAATCACAAACAAAAACTTCTTCTACGAAATGTTTTATTCTTCCACAGAAATATATTCGCTCAAAATCAAACATAACACGAAATACCAGTAGATGTCATTTCACAAATCCAAAGGTCCAGATCAAACATCCTTTCTGTATCAGTTCTTTGTTTTTACGTCTCATTTCTTAACTCCTTTTATGCAATTAAAACAAGTTGCTGAGCTCATTAACTGAAAGCGCAAGAGACGCTGACAACTTTGCAATGTCTGCTCATGTTTCAGAGAATTGAGGTTGAGAAGGCGATCAAACAGAAAACATGCAATGCTCTTCTTCTCGAGGTTCCAGCATCATTCCGTTCTCTTACCTTTCAAGTTCGATACAACTTTAGGGCCTGCTCTTAATATTTGTACGATATTTTGAAGAGAAAATATCAAAAATTCCACTTAAGACGGTAAAAATTATTATTTATGTCACTCTACTTAAAATTAAATAATTATTATTTAATTAATAAAGAAAAAATAAAAAGTTATATTAATTATTTAAATTGGTATAAATAATAAGTTTGTACAAAATCATGATGAACCATATACTTTTCTTTTATTTTTTATTTTTTAACCATTTGGTTTGCATTGCAGGTGAACCAAATGAAAAGCGCGACGAAGAGTATTGAAGCTGTGAACATGTCCAGAAGAGCTGGTTGGAGTGTTGGTTTGGCTAGCCATGGCTGGTATGCAATTCGTTAAAATTTCAATGCATTTAATATTCATCAATAAATTCAATTGTTAATTTATACTTTTGGTTGCAGTGGTGAGAAATATGACACCTTTGCTGCTGATCTTGCTGTGGGTCTGGCAGTGGTAATCCTTCATTCCCTCACTCGATTTTGCTTTTTCCTTTTTTTTTTTTTTTTTTTTTTTTTTTTTTTTTTTTTTTTTTTTTTTTTTTTTTTTTTTTGCTTTTTCTGTACTGTTTTTCATTGCTTTCTTGTTGGTAATTTTCCTCGTTTACCAGGGTCAATACAAGATTGGAGCTCCCTCTAATAACATGCGGTTAGATGTCTTCAAACGGGTATGTAAGATTAGTGTCAAGCTGTTTTGGGTTTTTAACGTTTTACCATTTCACAGGATTGATTTTTTTTAGAGGAAAATACATGGTTTGTTATGGTTTTATGCCTGCCTAATATTTATATCATTTTAAATAATTATCATAGTGACTTTTTCTTTTCTCGTTATTAATTGAATGACAATTGTTATTTTTTTAGTGAAGTGGTATAAATAATATTTTTCATCATCTTGAGTGGTATTTTTTGATTTTTTTTTCCTTGATTTTAAGTCCTTGTTTGTGTTTTTTGCAGCTTACTGAGATTTCGATGGACGTTAGGAAAGATGGCAGGTATCATGGCCCTCATAAGCCTGATTCGGACACTGTCTAGCGTGTTAGGGGATAATTTTTTTGCTCAAGTTATGGGTCAATTCCAACGTTACTATGTTGATTGATGACAATCCTTAAAAATAAATAAATAAATAAAAGGGACTTGTTGATCAAAGAATATAGTGTATAGAACAAATTTAATCCCCAAAATATCTTTTTAAACCTTGCTTACCAACATGATTAAGGGTTTTTTGTTGCCCACGTTTCTAGACACACATCTTGCCTTAAACCATAGCTAAACATAACATCTTTAAGAAACATATATGTTTCTTTATATATATATATATATATGAACTTTTGAAACTTCATATGAATATATCTTGCAATCTAAGTGAAGTAAATAGTGTGTGAACTCAGTTGCGTTGCTTCAAGGTGATGAAAGTAAGTACATCACGTTGGTTGATTAACCAAAAAGCCAGCTCTAGTTTGGCCTTTTGCCATTACTAGTCACCTCTTTTGGAATATCATTGCCCTCAAAATAACCATCACAGTTTATTTATATGTGTCTACCCTAAAATTGCGGCAATCTTAACCAAGTCAATATTTGACCTTTTTTGAAGTACAAAACAAAGAAAAACTCAAACTCCAATCCAACCATCCTAGCACCCAAAAACAAGTTCGCATTGTAAAAACGTGTTTAGTAGAGAGATTTGAATCATGGTTTAAATGGTTTGGATAGTTAAAAAGTTTTTCTTTCAAGGTCCAAACCAGATCCAAATAATCCCTTATAATTTTGATTATTCTATCTTGTATCTTTATGACCGTCAGCATAAGATTATTCTAATTTCTATAGTAATATTTATCACAAATTATTATTATGCATGCTATGATGAGTATTGTTGGTAATCATTAACGTAACGGTAAAAAAGGAAAATAATCAAATCAGTGTTATTAATAAGATAGTTTTTTTAGTATGTAAAAAATGAAAAAGTACCTGAACCTCCCGTATGGAATTAATATGGTTTACTCTTTTGTATTTAATGGCACGTATTAAAAACCTACCATACATTGACAACAAATCAAAACATTTCATAAATAGCCAAAATACAAATATGAATCTCGTATTTGAAATTTTAAATCATTTTAAAAAATTTTAAATGTTTCTTTAAAATATACATATACATACATATATATATATATATACCAGTTTAGTTAGTGTCGTGATTAGGGTCTCTCAATTTAACCTTTGTAAGGCTCATAAGACGCACCGGCACCAACGCCGATGGCGGCACACCTCACGGAGAAGAAACATGTCGTTCTCCTTTTAAGAGATTTGACTTTTGTTTTTATTTTCATTTAAGCCTTTTCTATTGATCAAATGCCATTTAAAACCTTTTGAAACTTAATTTTTGTTTTTAAATGATTAAAATTGTCTCTTGAAATTAAAACACGGCATGTTGATTTGATACATGAACAAATAAGTGGACATGGTTTATGAATTCAAAACCATTCTAAATTTACGTGTGTTTTTTATGAGAGAAAATACTGTAACGAATCACGAACCATAATTTAAATCATGGCACGAATACACCAACCAAACGCACCAGTATTCATTCCTAATAAGAACCAACCCTTTCGGTTAAGGGTACTCTATTTTCTCCAAATTTGCAAGAATATTGGTTGCTATATATAGATCAAAGTAAGATGAAAACATGGGAAGGTGGTGCGATATTTAAGTTGACATTTTAAGATTATTATTATTATATATTTTCGAATTTTGATGGTGGGTTGTGCCTAACTTCAGTCTTAAGTCTTCTATAACCACTGTCTGCTAGACTTATAATTAATATTCTTTTTATTTGTTTTATTAAATACCTATCTAGTTTCTTTAATTAGAGTATGTTTAGTTCGTTGATTCTAATTTTTAATTCGAGTTAAGATGTGATTTTATGTGATAGATTTTTACTGTAGTAAAAAAATTAGATGTGATTGTTTTTTAGAGCTTTTTACTGTAACAAAATTCGAATTCTAAACTCAAATCTGTAAAATGAACGAGATGTTAGCTTATATTCCATCAATAATAAGATGTTAAATGCTCAATATTATCTCTTGCTAAGTAAAGACTCGTTGATAGATGACTAACCGTGGGAAAAACAAGAGAATAATTAAAATAGATCATTAATATATAAATAAACTTTACAGAGTTGTCTTTATCAAGTGGGGATGCATGCAATAAAAATGGGATTGTTCCAAGAAATTATCTGTGGAAGAGACTCCATACATATTTTAGAGACTTATTGACTTCTTTGTAAAAAAAAAAAAAAAAAAAAAAGAGAGAGAGACTTTATTGACGTAGCTGGTGGAGAGCATGATAGACTTATGGGTCTATTTCTGGGACCAAATAATTTTCTCTAATTTTTAGAATAGAGTTTTCTAAAAATTTTATATAATGAAAAGAAATGTTGGGTTTGGTTTAAAGAAAAGACTTTTCTATAAGAAAAGGCAAAGAGCCAAAACCATAAACAAGAGGGAAAAATGGAAAATGAAAAGAAAGCTGGATTATCCGTTCACATTGTAACTATATTAGATTAATAAGAAAAATATGGTGCGTCTAAACTTTAAACTATCCCAAAGAATGTTTGGTTTAGTGACACTGGAATTTGAATGTGATGGAACTTTAAAAAAGGTTATAGAATTATTTTCATCTTGCTAAAAAAAAATTAAAAAAAAAAATTAAGAAGAAAAAAATAACCAAACAAACTTCATTAAAATAGAAAAAATATAAAATTATACGGCAATACAATACAACGTTTTCTTATATAGAAAAACATTATACTGCTTTTTTTTTACCTTATTATAATTGGATTAGGTATAAATCCAAAATATTGAAATTATTGAAAACGTGAAATTGATCTCATAAATGATTGCATTTGCCGGCAGGAAGTCGGCAATGCAGAACGAAGCAAGCATGAGAATTCTTGGACAAAAAGAGGAAACAAAAACAAAAAACAAAAACAAAAACAAAAATCAAAAGGAAATGAGTTGTCAAACCGTAGTGGAATAGGAAAGCACAAATTTGCAGAAAAGTGAGAGTCAATCAAAGGTTATACTTGTCTTTTCGCACCACCAGCCAATAAAAACTTGGAAGGAAAAAAAAAAAAAAAAACTGGTAGTTGAAAGGCACATAAATATTTTTATTATTTTTCTCATAATTTTAAGCAAGAAATAAAAAGGAGTCAATTTTCTTCAGCGTTCAGTTGTTTAATATTGAAGGAGAACTAAACAACTCTTGAAACCAAAAGACTCCTCTTTTAGTTTCTTCCGCTCCCATTTCTGATCTGTTCAGAGAAACAAGAGAATTTGGACAGAATTTTGCCGCTCAGTTGCAAATAACAGGCAAGTTCTTCACTTTTTTTATTGATGTAATATCTTTGTTTTGTTGTAATATCTCTTTTCACCGCTTCTTTAATATCCGAGAAACACGGATAATATTTTGTGTGTAGATATGTATATTTTTGGTTTCTCCTTTGTGTTTTGGCTAAAGCTATGGATAATTTTTTATGGGTATTCAATTATTTATCTTAATTGTTCACCGGTGTTTTCATATATATGAATTATTGTGTTTGAGATGAATTTTCAGCTAGATGTTTATGAATTAATTCAGTAGTTTGAGGTTTTTTTTTATTTTTTTGGGAAATCATTTAGGATAGTGGAAGGACTTTGAGAGCAAAATTTTTATTGTTCATCCAGAAAAATTTGCCAAATTGGAAAACTTTTTCACAAAAATCCGAGTTTGGTTCTTTTCACTTCGTCGGGAGAGCATTTAGTTTGCTTGCTGAGGCCATTTATCCTTTATTCTGATTTTTGTTAGTTATTTTTGAACGTTCAGTTTGTTTTTGCTTGCTGTGTTTTTTCTGCTTGATTGTAAACCACAATAGTCACAACCATGTGGAGGAATTGTCTATGTTAAGCCTTTAGCAACCTCATATTCTGTGAAGTTTCATTTTTTCTTTTGTCTTGTTCATTTATTGTTCTCCGATTTCGCCAGCAACTAGGTGAACCTGAATGATTTGTTAAAATTATAAGTACCGGTGATTTTCAATTCAGATTAGACATGAAATACCATTTTAATTTCGTGGAACAGGCAACTGAGGCGGGGAAGACGGAAGCAAGAACCTTGACCCCACAAAGACATCTGCTTCTGAACAGATGGATCTAAGTAAAACTTTTTGTTTCTCAAATATAGATAATTCATTTCCGTTATACATAATAGTTTTGTGCTTGTCAAAATATTGGAAATTTAGAGCGCATATTCGACTATGGAAGTTGGCATGAGGACCTTCTACTAGCCCTTATAACAACATGAATGATGAGTGTGCATGACAAATAATTAATGAACAAAACTGTATTTGTTAAGTTCATTTACTTCCTAACTCTCAACTAAGATTTATTGGTGTAGCAGATCTTAATGTTGAGGAGGCGGAGGGATTGAGAAATGGCGTTGAATTGGTGACATCCGTCTCCGATAAGCATCTTGATCTCTTGAGGCCATCAGCTCGATATTATTCGATGTTTAAAGGTAGTGAACCCATTTGGACACCGTACTACATAACAGACCTTTTCATTCATCTATGACCTTAATAATCTTTTGCACTATAAAATATGCTTTTAGTTGAAGTGATTGTGTCATGATGAATTCTGTACCTCAATTGCTGTTTACGCACATAATTTCTCATCTGTGTGACATTGGATTTGCCCGAATGCTCAACCAATGTTATTTCCCACTTTACACACGCAACATTTAGCATAGACTTTCTATGTTTTTTCCCCCATCAATTTTGTGTATACATCTTTTGCCTGCTTCTCTTCATTCATTTGATTTTAACATCTGTACAATCTGAACATATTCAAATATATTATTTAGTATGAAAATTCGCTAAATCTGATAACTTCGTAAACTCCTATATTCAATTAGTAAACAAGGTCTTTATAGAACTTGGTCTGTTTTACCGAGTGTTATCCAGACAAGTGAGAGGTATTATGGTGATGGTAGGGCAAGCAACAGACGGTACAGACCGGGACAAGGGCAAGTATACTCTCATCAGAGATGTTGAGGACTTCCAGAGTGGGATTTATGACAAACCCCTCCCTTGCTTTGGCTGTGGAATAGGATGGTTTTCGTGAGTATCTCTCATTTCCTTCTTTTCCCATGTTAGAATATAAAACTAATGTTGGCTCATCTCCTAATAGCTTAAGTTTTTGGAGAAATGAAAAACTAACACGATATTAGAGGAGAGGTCCTAAATTCAAACTCCTGTGATTGGTCTCCGAAAATTGTCATCATGTGTTAGCCTCGTCCAATTAATGTATTTACCCGTACATTTATCCATCTGGCTCAAGGTTGCAGGGATTGTTCAAATATAAAATTATTTATTAGTCCACCTCCTAATAGCTTGAGCTTTTGGGAGAAATGGTGAATTAACATCCCGCATTCCCATTTCCCCTTTCTCTCATGCTTATTTCTTTCATGGCAGTTTTCTATTGGGCTTTGTGTTTCCACTCATGTGGTACTATGGCACTTTCCTGTACTTCGGTAATCACTATCGGAAGGATCCTCGGGAGCGAGCTGGCCTAGCGGCCTCTGCAATTGCTGTAATTCTCTCTCACTCTCACCCGATTAGCATACATTATAGTCTGTTACAGGCTCTGAACTGCTTAGTTTGCACTTAATCTTTGCTAATCCATGATTTAACACTCTAGTTGATATAAATTATCACATGGTTGCAGGCACTAGTTTGTTCCATGGCATTGTTGATCATCGTCCTTATTCTGATGTTCTAGCTTATTCATCAACCCGATCCCATTTTGCTTCCAAAACGCCTTTTTATTTTTTTCCAACATCGAGAAAGCAGATTTATATTGTAATTCGGAGCACAAAATGCTCGGAGAAGAAGGAAGTGGATTAAAGGAGAAAATGTAAAGCCAAGATAGTTCTGAAGAATTGAAATGTGCATACCAAAAGATTCAGCCACGAAAAAACGTTCCAAGTATATCTTTTCCTTTTCCTTACTCATTTTGCATGGCAGGTATTTATACAATTATAGAATTTCTCTCGGTTAACATTGTCATTTTGTGTAATTTAAATAAGATTTCGAGGTCGTTATGATAAAAATGTATATGAATATCTTACTGAAAATTATTTTACATCATTGTGATGCCCTGCGCTGTTTGTTAATATTGTCTTCTTTTTTTTTGTTAAATCAGTGTTTCTGAATTAAGATCCATACAGGTGCTTATGCTTGTCGATAGCAGGTTTTTTTTTTTTTTTTTTTTCCTTTACATTATAAAAGCCAAGTTAAACAGCACTTTTGCAGTAAACACAAAATTACGAAAGGAAGTTCATATTAATTTTATTAGTCTATTCAAGACTTAAAGTCCTGCTTCTTCAGCAAAATTATGCAATATATTTACCTGCTTTCTATGCTCTGTCATGACTCACGAGGCTGGCGTTCATTTCTATTTTTTCAATTAGTTTGGGAACAAAGAGAGATTACGGTGAAAGGGGCCACTAGCATGCAAAATCCCAAATTTTAATTTGAGCTTGTATAGAATCACAACAAATACAAGAGTTCCTTTCATCTCTCAGAGGTAATAACAATGGCTTGTCCACTAGAAGAATACGTTCAAATAGTTTATTTCTTGAAAGAAAAAAAAAAAAAAAAAAAAAAAAAAAAAAGAAAGAGAGAAGATACCGTCAAAATTTCTCTGGTAGAGTACAAGTTATAGGATAATAGGAGACACAAGTGTCCAGCTCAACCTAACTCCTACAAACCAAGCTATCAAAGAAGGCCTGAAAGAAGCAGAGGAAAATTTTGTCTCCAAAGAATGATAGTGTACGTTTAATCTTTGCCCACCAGACGAACATACTTGTTCTCAACAGCAAATCTGGAGCTTGAATTGATCTGCAACAGACAAGAAACATAATTAAAAAATAAATAAATAAATTTTGGAAAAAAGTTCAGTTGACATCTTTGATAATTAAAAAAGAGAATTATATGCTAAACCAATAAAGGATGGGGTGGGCTAACCTTGTGCTCAAGAGTATTTCTGAATTGATCTTCTTCACCCGTTATGCCAGATTCATGAAGAGCCTTGAGAACAAGTTTTCGGAGTTTCTTCATCTTCAAAACGCCCTCAGGACTCTAAGCCAATATAGAAAAAAAGATTCGGAGAAGTATACGTCAACATACTTAGTAAGTGAGCATAATAACGTAAGAAAAAAGTCGATATTGAAGAAGGCATAAAAGTGATCCTCTATCTTTTCCACTCTAGGGGTCGAGAGTGGGTCTGTCTTCCATGCTGCTTTTGTTTGATGATCATAGCAAGCTTTTATATTTTCCATTAAGCAGTTTTTTTTTTTTTTTTTTTTTTTTTTTTTTTTTTTTTTTTTTAAATTATTTTTTGTCTTTCTGTATATTGTAAAATCATGAACATAGGTGATATAAAATACATACAGATTTCAACGCTGATGTGATCAACTTCTTCCAATTTATCTTCTTGGTTTCTTCATCAGCAATGCCAGAATTCAACACCTTATCTTGCTTCGCCTGACTATCTTTATCTCCCACTTCTGTCTTTCCACCCTGAATAACCTCACCATTGTCAAGCGCACCCAATGTACTTTCCTTCGTCTTTTTCTTCAAACCATTATCTGATTTCTCGAGTTTCCTCTTTTTCTTTGATGATAAATTTCCATTACTTTCTCCAAAATCGTTATTCTCATACTCAACTTTAGAAACATCCTGCGCTTTAGGTTCGGCCCCATCTTTCTTTTCAAGCGACCCCCCTTTTGGAGGGTTTTCAGATGGAAGCTTTGTATCTGAAGTAAATTCTTCCATCTGCTTTGGTTGTTGCTTTGCGTTATGGATAGCTCTGGCTTTGGCTTTGTGCTTCTTTCCTTCTGCATGGAGAAGCAGAGTCTGCCTACTGGTAGCCTTGGTATTACAAAGACTGCAAATGCACAGATATACAACCAAAAACACTCAGACCCCAATTGCAAATCCCAAAGAACTAAGGATGAGCTAAAATAGTATTGCACGACCACTGTAATGGGGATTGTAGATACCAATGTCACAAGATCAATATAAACTATTTCTTCTCCCAATTAATGCTGCATTCTTACATCAGATAATAGTCTAATACCTAAATTCATAACCAAAAAGTTGTTATGGGACCACAAAGTTCATAACAACAACTGGAATGAAAAAGCTATTAAACATACCTACAGAACCACGGAGGGCGTTCAGACAAACCAACGGTTATATCAAAATCCGGATGCTGCTTGGCACTTGCACCATTCAAAGCTTTTCCTTGGCCCTTGGGACCATATTTTTCCTTCAAAGAATAAAAAGTGAGACATAATATATCATTCCACAATCAAACTGTGATACCCTTTTGAATGTCACTATAATTATGAAAAGTTCATTGAATTATGTCTAATTATAAATTTTACTATCAAACTGCCAGTTTTTAAGGAGATCTTATGTTTCTTAATTATCATAATAAGTTAATAGCACCTTATAATTAGGAATAATTCCATGATAACTTTCATAAAATTCATAGCAATGTTTGGAGAGTAATATACCAACAATGTTAGTTAGCCAATCAAAACAGTTTAATGCATTTTGCCTTCCACCACCCAAGATTTCAAAGGAAGTGAACAAGCTATAAAAACATTAGCAAGAAGTAAGAGGAAAAGTAAGAAATATCGGTCCAATGCGTGTAGGATAAAATTAGTATGAAAAAATCTAAAAGCTTATTATTAACTAAGGCCAAAAAAAAAAAATGATTCTACCAAGTGATAGGATACACAAAGCAAGTGAAATAATCATTCATTTGCAAGTGCATTCTAGTGTTCAAATGCTAAATAAGAAAATTTTAACACATTTTGAGTTTGTTAATCACAATTAGAACCACTAATTATACAAAGTACATACCATCTCGGTCATACATTGCGTGTGACCCTGAACACTTTCCTGCCTGAATATCTCTCCGCAATCAATACACGACAACTGCAAAAGCAAACGACAGCATAAAATTCGAGAGAGGAAAAAAAATCTTCTGTTTGGTTGACGAGAAATAGGAAGGAAAAAGAAAAACGAAGGTTCGGTAATTGGATTTTCATATGACGACATTTTCAAGGAAAGCAAACAGAGTGCGAGAAGAATTACCTTGGAAGCGGAGCAAATATTGAAGTGATTGGGCAATTTTGGTTTCTTCAGATTGTCTCCGCAATCCTCGCATTGAAACCAAACCATTTTCTCTGTTCTGCAGAAGATAACTCCGGAAATGAGGAAATTTTGTTCCAGAGGAAGGGGAAAAAGGACTCGGGACTCTTCTAGTGCTACGAAGGAGGGTAATTGGGGATTTTGGGGGGTTTAACATCTAGGGTTTTGTCGCCAACTCTTTTTCGGTTTTTTTATTTCCCCTTGTTAAGAAAAGTTTTTTTTTTATTATTTGCGGATAAATAAATGTTATTTATTTATAAATGGTTATAAAAAAAAATAAAGATAAAATTACAGAATCTACGTACCTGACTTATTTAAATTAAAGTACATTTTTTAAAAAATTCTACCTTTTAATTAATTTTAGTCTAAAAAATAAAAATATATAGGTTAATATTAATGGTAGAAATAAAAAGAAATTCCATTTTGCGTTTTTAAAATTTGCTCAAAAAAAAAATTTTAATTGTCTATTTCAAAATTTTGAACAAAAATTCAAAAAGTAAGAAAAAACACTGCACTATAAAATTTTAAATTGTGGTTCAATTATATGAAACAGACAAGTCAAAAATATTATTTTGATTTATAGTTTCAAACACATAGCTTTCATGTAAATTTAATTTTTTATGAGATAAAACATTATAATAAATATGTTTAAATATTGTTGAATCTATAAAACAAATGAGTTAAAAATAATTTAAAACATAAAAAAGTAAAATGTGAGGTAGACTCACATGTCTCCGGAGGAGGGTGGTCTCATCATCGTGTTAGAAGAACAAGGAGTGGGCTCGGCTTCGCACATCTCAAATATGGGTGGTATTGATAGATAGGGGTAGGGTGGCAGAAGCCCTCGCAATCTTGTCATGTCACGTGATCTAAGGCCTCACAATCTTCTCATATCACGTTATCTAAGGTCTCACAATCTTATCATGTCACGTGATCTAAGGGACGTTGTCATTGTAGCCATCACGCATCTTCGATGGTGGTGGTTGTGCTTTATCATAGAAGGGAGCTTGTTGGCATACGTGCACACCGAGGGTGGCTTGCAAGTGTGCATTTTTGTGAGAAGTCTTTTATAAAAAAAAAAATGTCGTTTGCTATAAGATATGTTGCTCATTTCTATGTTAAAATTATATTTAGCTATCAAATATAATTTGATAGTATACATCTACAATGATCGAAACCTAGTGGTATACTTTTTGAATATCCTAAAAGTTTGTTGAGTACAAAAGATAAGGACTTTATTATGAAATATAATATAGTGTGCTTTCTTGCGGATGAGACACTAGATGACTTTGCAGTTTTCTCATATTCAAGCAATATCTTGACTTTAAGATCGAATAGTTAGGATATGTCACCTTATTATCTTTCTTATCTTTAAAATAATATCACATCAATTTAAATGTCATCTTGATTGAATTATTATGTCACACTACTTTAAAAATTATACGAGTAATATTTTTAATTGACGTGATATGATATTATTAAAGAATGCGTAATAAAATCTGAGAAAATTAACCTATAGACTGCATCTGTCAGAATATTGAGCTTTTGTTTATTAGAAAAACCCATGTTTTTCATTGGCGTTGTTGATTGTGGGTAAAACCTCATATGCTTTTATTTTATGTTTATTACTAGTTAGTGGCATTACTTAAAAGGATCTTTAAACAAATAAAAATAAAAGGGGTAGTTACAAACTTACAAACGAAATAAGTTGATCATATATATATATTTTTTTAGATAAAATCATTTTGATACTTATACCTTTAAATATAATGAAACATTTCACAGCTATCCTATCTATTTAATAATATTAAAATAGTATATTCAAGTTTTAAAAACGGTTTTTTGGTACCCTAAGGATAACTTATCTTTTTTTTTCAATTTAAGTCATATTTAATTTTCAGAATGTAATATAATTTTTTTAGAATAATACATAAATTTAAAAATGTATATATATTTAATTTTCAAACACCGAACTGTTTTTTATGTTACAATTATATTTTACTTCAGTACATCTATATATTGTGTTGACGTAAATGGGCATGAGTTTTAAACATTTTATTTAGGACAAATAATTAATTAATGTGCAGTCGTAGACTAAACAAGAAAAGATGAGATAAATTATATTCTCTTCTTTTAGGCATTTCATGATTATCTCTCCTACTACAGAAAATAACTCCATTTTGACACATTTTATTTTTGACTATAAACTATTAACTAATCTCGTCTTAGCAGGTAACATCAAAAATGAAATCTGAATAATATGCGGTCGGCACGAGGACTTAAATAATAAAAGATAAAACTATAATACTATTCTCTTCTTTTAGACATATTTCATGATTATTTCTCCTATTAGACAAAAGAACTGATCAATTTTGACGGAAAAGAATTGTAATGTCTCTTTGTTTCGGTGGAGGGGGAAAAAAAAGAAAAAAGAAAATTCCAATGTTAGCTATTAGGATAAATCATCATGAAAATGAAAGTAATGGTTATGTTCATTTTATCGATTCAAATTTAAAATTTGAGTTTTATTACAGTAAAAAATTTTCACATAAAATTACATTCAACTCGAATTAGCGAACTAAACGGACCCAATATAAACAAATATAGCGTAGCCATTGGAGAAGCTTAGAGGACACTTCCGCTTTTGTGGTGAGTAGCTCAAACATATGTCCCTTCTTCCAACCACCTGTCCCTTTACTCCAAATTGTTTTCTTTACATGTTTTTTCTATTAATAATAGTTTTTTTTTTAAATGTATTTTGTTGAAATAAAAGAATTTAATAGTTGCGGGATATTTAAAAAAAAGTTGTTTTTATAATTGTTTTCTTTACATGTTTTTTCTATTAATAATAGTTTTTTTTTTAAATATATTTTGTTGAAATAAAAGAATTTAATAGTTGCGGGATATTTAAAAAAAAATACCTTATTGATAGAATAAAATTCTAATTATAAATATTTTTAGGAATAATGTTAAAAAATCAATATTTGAGAATTGTATTTTATATATTGTTTCATATTCTGTGTAATATATTAGTCCCTACGCCTTCATAGTTTCAATGATCGAAACAAAAAAAAAAAAAAAGAGTTCAATCTTTCTTAATCCTTCCTTCCCAGTTCCCGCGAGTGTCAAGCGTGAATCACAGCGCAAATCCAACTATCCAACAAATGAAAAATGAATTATAAAAAAGGAAATAATAAAAACGTACAATTTTTGAAAAATAATAAAATATTTAATTATTATTGAAGAATTATTTATTTGTTTTATATACTAAATTCAAATCATTAATTATGTTTTAAAATATTTCTCATAAAAAATTTAAATTTTAAACGTAAAAATTAAAAATAATTTAAATGTACTTTTCATTTTCTATGCAAAAAAGTTGCTTGCAAATTCATGGTCGTCCTTTCTATTTTCTCACGCTTTCAATTTGTGGGGCATGATTTGGTCACGTGGGACAGGAAAAAGATAAGCACTAGACTTCAAATTATAACTTTTGTTCCTTTCACAGAAGCACTTTATGCTATGATTTCCTCTATAGTTATTATTTTTTAGTCTTAGACGACTAGTAATTGTCATACTTTAAAACATCTGTTTTCGTTTTCCTCTTTTCCAAAATATTACTCATTAATAATTTATTGAGGCGTCACATATGATAGATTAAAAAAAATGAGAGAGAGAAGAATTTAAAATTTAGGCTCTTCATGATGGCGAAAAAGCTTCTTTAACAATTTGAAAACGGCATCTTAAGCAATATTATTATAACTATACAACATACAAGTAAGAAATATTCACCGTTAAATATGTGTGTGTGTGTATATATATATATATATATATATTATATTAACGTGCACTCTCATAAAAAGCTGCGTTACGATAAAGTAAAAATGCCCTTTGACATTGATTATTATTATTATTATTATTATTATTATTATTTACATTTATGTATTGTCAACATCTTTTTTTTCCTTTTTTGAAAGAAGTAATCGACATCTTTTTAGTTACATATAGTTTTCTAAAAATGAGCTTCTACGTACCGGGGCTAAACTTGTATTTTAGCTCCAAAATTGACCTATGTGATATAAAAATTGACGCGCAAATGACTTCCAAGGTCAAATCTACGCAGTAACGTACTAGTGTCCACACACACACAAATGTAAAATATTTCCAATGAGCTGATAATATATATATATATATATAGGCTCCTTTTAACGTCTCATCCCACGGTCTATTTTGAATATATTATATTAGAAAGGTATTTATTTGAGTCTTTAATTCGAGTTGAGATGTGATTTTATGTGAGAGTTTTATATTGTAACAAAAAAGTTATATGTAATTGTTTCTAATAACTTTTTATTGTAGCAAAACTCAAATTAGTGAAATTAACGGGACCTTAAAGGAAAAAGGAAGGTGGACAACTATTATGGAAGTTGTTTAAGCTTTGAGCTTACAATTAACTGGTTGGCGTGAGTAGTGTGGTGAAGTTGACTTGGAGCGAGCTTAGTAGTACTATAGATTATAAAAAAAAATTATTTTTAGATGTGCTGAAGAAAAAAATAACTAAGTGTTTGATAAACTGTAACTATATAAATGTTACTGGTTCCAAAAGTAGTGTAATGGCGTTTGATAAATTATGAGGTTGAATTGTTGTTGGTAGAGTAGTTAAGATGATCGTAATTAATAATATTAAATTAATGTATAAAGTAATTAATAATTGATAATTATTTAGCAATTAAAAATTAATATATTAATAATATAATAATAATGGATAAATTATCATTGATGAGTACATTAGTAATTAAACTATATATATAATAAATTAATATGCTAAATAATTAAAAATAGTAATTAGTAATTAATTATAAGTAATTACTATATTAGTAATGCACTTATACGTAATTAATTAGTGTATTAAGAAAAATAATTAGTATATATATAATTTATTAATATTCCGTTGACTACTTAAATTATTAACTTTTAGTTACATAATTAAATAACTAGTTATTTAATTACTAATGTTTATTTAATAATCTATTGTTTGATATATCACATGATCAATTTTTGGTAATTATTATTTTTTTTAATAATAATAAATTAATATTTAATTAATAATTAAGTCATTACTATCTATTTATTAGTTATTAAGTATATCTATTTATTAATTAATAATTAATATATA